AAATACCTCTGTGCCGAGGTACCTCACCCCCCTTCCTCTCTTTTGTCTGTTGGCCCAGACCAAGCTTGCCCTCCAAAGTGATCCCTTGTTTTACAAATTGGGTTCGCAACAACCTGATCTGCTGTCTCAGTTGTTGTTCGTTGCAACCTCTCAGTCTGAAACCTCATTTTTCTGTTCATGCTTTCATCTACAGCCGTCGGGCAGGCTGGTGGCCGACCGCTCCAGCCCCGCAGAGTGGGAGCACTTCCGCATTGAGCACCACGGCCCACAGGTAAACATTTTATTGTGTTTTGACATGCGAGCGCGGAGCATCTAATTCGTCGTCATGTCAACACCTGCCGCACAGGTCACCTTGCGCTCGCACCACGACAAGTACGTGTGCGCCGAGCAGGACCACAGGGCGGTGGCCGATCGCTCGGCAGCCAGCATTTGGGAGAAGTGGCACATCATTCCCGTGGCCACCTGCCACCAGGCCCCGCACTGCCCCCAGTCGCAGCCGACGCAGTGTCCTGCGCCTGGGATCGGTGGCTATCCTCAGCCGTCGCAGCAGCCGCAGCAGAGCTACTACCCTCCGGCGCCCGCTGGCTATCCTCAGTGGCCTCAGCATGCACCTGCCTTCGGTGGCTTTCCGCCGGCACCCGGTGGTGGCTATCCGCCTCAGCAGGGGTATCCACCGCAGCAGGGCTACTACCCGCCGGCGCCCGGTGGTGGCCATCCGCCTCAGCAGGGCTATCCGCCGTACCCCGGTGGCTTCCATGCTCCAGGCCAGTATCCCCCTGGCCACTACTAAGCTGTCCGTGCCGGTTCCTGGGCAAACACCTCGGTCTAGGCCGTGGTCTGTCTTTCACTTTATTGACCGTTCCACGACCATCAAATAGAAAGCAAACCAGAAGGCGAGGTGATGCGGAAAGCCGGTTGTCTGATGGTCACGCTGGAAAAGTGTGGTCTGGTGGTTTCATCAAGGACAGGTCGAGGACCTGGTGGCCTCCTATGGCCCAGCCAGCTTGCGAAACACGTACAGATTGGCCCGCAAATACTAAAATCTCAACTTCGACAGGCTGTGCCTCGTCGTCCAGGACGCCATCGAAGGGTCAGTGACAAATTAGGGGAGGAGTTTCCTTTTGGTTTTCTTTCCAGGGCAAAGAAAAATGTTAAGAAAATGGAAAAAAAGAACACGCAAACGAAAAAGAAGAGGGCCAAAACAAACCTCCAACACCCGAGAGATGGACAAAGCTAAAGGTAAGACCAACACCGTGATGTGCAGACCAGAGGTGTGACTATGGTTTGCACCTGTGCTGATGTTTCTCACTCTGGCGCACACACGAGTAGTGGAGGGTTTCGTTGTGGGGCTGCTGGAGCGGCACTGCGGCCCCAAGGCGGCTCAGAGCGCGAACACCCGACGACACTTCACCGACGCGATCCTCACCGGCTCCTCCACCCCCGATACCGTCCGCGCCCAAATCATCCAACTCGCCAAGGTGCGTTTTTTCCATTTTTCATAATATTCAATTCTCTTGAATATTTCTTTTACATACCCCCGAGTGTATGAAGTTAAAGCCAACATATCTGTTGGCTGCAATAGACGCAGCAACTGGCGCAGCATATTATACAAACGTCGCCGCCCACGTCGCCAGTGCTCCAGGTCCACCAGATGCAGCCGCAGCCGCAGCCACAGCCACAACCACAGCCGCAGCCGCAGCATACTGCGGATCTGCCGGCGGCCGCGGCGGTGCGGCTTAACGGGAATCAGCCGATCCCCGCGCCGGCGACCAGTCCTCCCGCAGACGTTAAGTGGTCCAAGGACGAACAGAAGCGCTTCTTCGAGGGCTA